CATGTGGAAAGCAGGCATAGTGGTAATGCTAAACATGTGGATTCTATGCATGCATGTATGTGGGGTGCTTTCCTTGGCACCCCAGTCACACTGAGAATTCAGATTATATTTTTAAGAGTGGGGAGTGGGGCAATGGACTTTATTCTCTGCTTTCCACGGAAGAGCATGGTAGTCCACGCAGTCGTCAGGATTTTATACATAAGGAAGTATTTCTTTCAAAGAGATGGCTCCTGCTGTCTAGCTGAGGAAGCCAGACCCAGTCAGGCTTCCATGTCTGCTGCTCGCCAGACCCTCCTTCACTTCCCACAGGGCAAGGGACAACAGATGACCTGGTTGAAAGGCAAAGACGGCTTCATTGTTCCGCTCCCTGAGTTTACCGAGGAGGAAGAAGTTCTGGAGATCTTGTGAGGTAGGAATGTTCTTTTAAGATGTTTGTAGAGTCCCAATAGTGTCCGTGGGGATCCTCTTAGGGGGGATGCATCTAATATCCATCCTTCTGAAAAGGTGTAGTTCTGGGGCATAGAATCGATTTCCCACTAGGGGGCACTGTCTGACTGGTGTTACCTCCTGCTTCAAACTTTGCTCCCAGACTGCCGCCTAGTGTTCAGTTGGAAGAGGTGGCTGTAGGGTACTCATTCCTGGGATGGCAGGCCATGGAGACTCATGAATTTGCCTAAAATCTATTTCCTTCTGAAAGAAGGAAAAAGGAAATAAGGCCTGAGCAAAAACATACCCTACCATTCTCTTGCGAGGCAACTAACCAGCTTTGAAGGAACTAGAAGACCCAAATGGAAAGCCCACCCCCACCCACCCACCCCCGCCCAGAGTTCTGCATTGAATTGTTTGGGGATGATTTTAATGGATCTATGGACCAACTCTTTCTTATGACACTTCTTTATTTGTACCTTATACCTCTCCAGCCTACATGGTTGGAAATGCAGAGAAAATTTGGCTAAAATGCTGTTTCTGAGACCTTTTTCCTGTTGAAGTACCCAAGAATGAAGAAGTAGATTTTCTTTGTGGCTAGTGCATGCTGTGGACATATTTTTAAGTACTGTATTGAGAAATAAACTGCATTTTGATTTATTGGGGAAGATTTCATGCCAATATTTACAAAAATGCTCCATATGATGCTTGCCCTTCTTCATGCCAAGGAAAGCCTTCCCCATGTTAGTTCATCCCCCACCAGTGTTCCCATCTGTTGTACTTTGTTTCTTTCCAGAGAGGCATGACTGATTTCTCTGACCTTCAGAGACTTCCTCTTCTTGGTAGAGTTCTGGAGAGAGGCTCTGCTTCCTCCCAAATCCACAGCACCAAGGGCTGATTGCCTTAGACTGCTGCTTAGGAGGAGGGGAGGCAGAAGACATGTATGCTGGGGAATTTCTCCCTTCTAGTTCAGGATGGAAACAATGGACCAGAGCCATCTTCTGAGGTTTCCTTCCTTCTGCCCTTGTTGAGTGTCATGGCTTCTTGTCCTAAACACTTTGCTCCATCATGAAAGAAAACAAATCATAATCTCCTGTGTGGTCCTTAGTTGATAGGCCAGGTTCTTTTCAACCATCCATCCATGTATTCACCCACCCACCCATTCAACCATCTTTCATTCATCCATCCATCCACCCACCTACCTATTCAACATCTATCCCTCTGTCTACTCATTCATTCATTCACCCACCCATCTGCCATCTCGCCCATCCATCCATCCATCCATCCATCCATCCATCCATCCATTCGTCTGTCCGTCCACCTATTTAACCATCTATCTATCTGTCCACCCATCTGTTGTAGGAGCTGCAGGCTGTGTTCCTGCCTCCCCAGCTCCTGGTTGCCTGGCTAGCTTATGCCCCGAAATAACAACACACAAACTGTATTCTTTTAAACACTGCTTGGCCCATTATATCTAGCCTCTTCTCGGCTAACTCTCGCACCTGGACTAGCCCATTTCTAATAATGTGTGTAGCACCCCAAGGTGCGCTTACCGGGGAGATTCTAGCCTACGTCCATCCTGGGTCGGAGCTTCATCGCGTATGCCCCCGAGAGCTGAGCTATGGCATCTGTCTGAGGCGTCTACCTCACTTCCTCTTCCTCCCAGCATTCTGTTCTGTTTATTCCTCCCACCTATGTTTTAACTTACGAGGCCAAGCAGTTTCTTTATTACTTAACTAATGACCTTCCTCCATCACCCATCTATCCATCCACTCACCCACCCACCAACTCATCCATCCATCCATCTGAGAATTTCATAAATGCAAGGACCATGTGTTAAGTTTTTACTCTGCTATCTGCTGTACTGGGATCATAAGAGAAGAAGAAACTTTCATTTCTCTCTTAGAGTGTAGTTGAAAGGACACATTTTTCAAACACAGTAATGCTACCTTAGGGACTAGTAGACTTACAAACAAAAAATTGAAGTAACCAAATAATCTAATATCATTATAGTAAAAGGACATTAGAAAACACCATTCATTTCCAGAGATGGGGTTGAATAAGGTAATCATCAATTATTATTCCATCTTTGTAGTTGTATCAATGAGGTACATTTGCTTCTAGCCCTAGCCCATCTGCTTACCTAATCATATTCATATAATAAAGACTTTGTTAAATCTGTCTTCCATTTGATTTATAAAATAAACATTTGATGCTCATACCTGTTCGTGTGTACAAAACACATATACATATACAAACACAGACACCCACATGCATACCTATATTCATATACACACACCCATATACATATATACACTAGGTATATATGTGTATATATACACATGGAGAGAGAGAGGAGAGGGAGGGAGGGACGGAGGGAGACAGGAAGGGGATGAATATAGATATCACAGTTAGAAATTTTTATAGGAGCAGTTTACATAAATCTGTATCTAGAGGCGTGTGCGTGTGTGTGTGTGTGTGTGTGTGTGTGTGTGCACTAAGGATACCTACTGGATTGTTTATTTTTCTTTGGATATCTGTGTTGTGTTTAGTGTGAGTTAGAGTTTGCAGCAAACATTGCAGTGTGGGTCTTTCTCTTAATCCCTTGTAGAGAAGTCCTAAGGCAGGAAGAGCAACCAAACACTGCATGAGGCTACCAGTTAAACCTGAGTCGAACAATGTAGCCACTTGTGAGAGACACTGGCGTTGCACAGGCAGGGAAGGCCCAGGCAATTCTGCTTCCCTAATGCTAGTCTCACACCCTGGCTTTGCTTCCTCGCCTCTTGGTCTGTAAACTCCTGTACTGGAGTGTTTGAAGTACAAATGATTGAAAGTTGGTAGAATATCTAAATTCTATGAAGTCTAGAAGCCCCTTGGAAAAGTTGTGGGATTGGCTTCTACCATAATTCATGAACATGTAAATAAACTGCAGTAATAGGTTATTTATTCCAGGCATTTTATTTAGTCCACAGCAACAGGTAGAGATACAAGATCACATAGATCATGGTGAGAAAATTAAACATTGTTTTAGTTGGACATCCAAAGACATGAATTTGGTTATATGTCTGCTATGTAAGAGTTTCTGACCAGAACCAATGAGGTTTTCTGTATTTTCTGAACACAATGAACTTCAACTTTACATTAGGAAGAGATTTCACCCTGATTGGTGCGCCAGCTAGATACCAAGTTTAGACGGCATGGAAGCATAGTACCCCAGCCTATGGCTAAACAAACACGACTTGGTAACTGGTTTAATTTCTAGGTTCATTTATGCAAGTTGTAAAACAATCAGCAAACTGCAGCCCTCAAACCTCTCAAGGGCATTAAACACAGAGGGACAAACTGACGCGTGATTTCAAATGTGAAGTATGTATGTGACAAAGAAAAAAATGTAGATCTTGGGCCTGTCCTGTCTCAGCAGAGCAGATGCCCTGGCAGGGTTGGTTTATGCATTTTGCTGGCTACTGTGAGTCACTGACACTGGCAATTCTAGATCACAGGTGTGACCCGTCATGGGAGTGTGCTGTCCCGTGATGCCGTAGGCTGTGTTTGCATGGCATTTCTGGTTTTGTTGGTTCCATTCCCACAATCGTAAGTGGACGAGATGGAAACAGACATGGGCGTGAATGTTTCTGGTGAAGATGAATGGTGTTAGGCATCTCAGACAGGAAGACTTCCCCAAGCAAACGAGGCGTGAGTACACAGAGCATCACAAGCTGTGTGGGAGGATGGGCCCTCAAATCTCAGAGAACTTGGACTCAGGAGGCCTTCCCATTGCCTTTCACTTCCTGCACGCAATGCCGTGTTACTATGTGAATTTACTCCTTCCACAGTCTATTCCCTATTTACTTTTCATTACAGAGATATAATCAGTTATAAGGATAAGGCACTGTAATACCTACCTAATGTTAATATCTTTTTAAGAAACCCTAAAATATAAACACATTAGTCCTAGAGGCTCTTAAGAACCTACTTCTTGTCTATTACACAAGTTTGAGTAAATATATTGTATTTAACTTGGATTTCCACATTGACACTTGAAGATTGGAACTTCCTGCCTAGGGGCTCAATTCTAGTCTTCAGAATTCTACCGTCTCAGCGATAGAGTGCCTGCTGGGTAAAGTTGGCTACCCCTGTGGATTCTGTATTTGGCATTGATTTTTGTGGTTATGGTATCCAGATGCTAAGCTGCATGTGGTGTGTGTGTGTGTGTGTGTGTGTGTGTGTGTGTGTGTGTGCATGTGTGTGTGTGTGTATGATGTTTTATGATGAAAGCAGGTTTCAAATGCTGCCCGAGTTTGAGTAGAGAGAGATGACTCCTCCCCACCCTCATGGAGGGGACTGGCAGGGTCTAATGGCCACAGGAAGGAGTGTGAGGAAGTGTGGCTTTAACGAGAGCGGATCACCAAATTCATACACACACAAAAATCATGGGGAACACATATTTGGCAAAGCGCTATTCTCGGCTCCCCAGCAATGAAGTCTTCTGTTTGTTCTTTTTGGCAGTGCGATAAACATGTGTGTCGTAGTTGGGGCAACCTTGGAGAGAGTTGCTGCAGCTGCCCAGGTGTGTCCTATAGCACAGCACAGATCCCCAGCATCAGGACGAGGTGATAAAGAACACCTGTGAAGCAGAGGGGGCAGAGACAGCACTGAGAAACAGCTGTGTGAGGCCAAGGAGCATTCAGCCAGAGTTAGTGCAACGGGGCTGCTGTATAGCTTCCAAATTTTACACACAGTCATTCCTGCTCATCCCCTGGGACTTGCATGCTCCACTTCTATCAACATGGAGGCCCTAACACATAAGCCTAGGTTGTGCACCTCTGGAAAACAGACATCTGACTTGGACTGCACAGTGCTGGCACACGCCTTTCCCTGTAGGATGCTCTCCGGAGTACTTCCCTTTAGAACGAGAAGTGGACATCGAAATCAGTTTATATGATTTTCTTATACTGACTAATTGATTCCAATCTGGAAGTCAGCAAATCAGTGCAACAGCCCCACCCCACCCTATGTCCTTGTCACCTTTCCACTGAGACCCTGGCTGCAGCTGAAATGGCTCTTCCTCTCAGAAGCTTCTCCAGCTGCTTTCTATGTCGCTTCCCCCAGCCTTCACCCCATGACCTTGTCTCGTCCACTGTATCGTTTAATGCTGAAGTATAATTAATTCATAGCATACCACGTATGCCAGGGATAATCATAGCCCAGTTCCCAGAGCAAAGCTGAGTAAGGAGGCTGAGACTCTTTCTTATCCAAGTTGCTCTGTTAATGAACCACAGAGCCAAAGCAGGGACTCAAATGTTTGCTAATGAGAAGACAATCTGATTCAAAATTATATTCTCCAAGTGCAGGAACCTTAGGAAAGCCACTTGGTGATGGCTTTGTTCAGGGGGTTCTGTGGCCTCTGATGGTTCTCCATCCATTTGAAACAGCTCGTCTCTTGGGTCACAGGCTGGTTGGCGTGAGACCTCTTACCTCTGTCCCCATCTGCCCCACTCAGGTGTACTCTAAGATGTATATTTTCGATGATAGATTTTTCTGGGGCCATAGAAAACATCCCTAACAGTGCAACCACTCCCAAACCATTGCCCCATGACACGAGAGTGCCTCTTCTCCTTACCTGAGAAATCACAGAGGCTGGAGAGTCCCCTGCCTGGAGTAAGCAAAGAGAGAGAGAACACAGGCTGAAGAAAGCCATGGAAGGAGTATCAGGACTGCTTCTGAGCCACAAACCTGGCCAAGTCCAACCCCCACTAAATCAGAGGAAGTATACTGAGGTTTTGGTTTTTGTTTGTTTGTTTTGTTTTGGAGACAGGGTTTCCTCTATGAAAGGGTCCTGGCTGTCCTAAAACTCACTTTGTAAACCAGGTTGGCCTCTAACCTACAGAGATCCACCCACCTCTACCTCCCAAGTGCTGCGTACTGAGGTTGACAAAGGCTTCCTCTCATGGCATTGCCACTTTGGCTGTCTAAAGCAGGGGCCACTAAATATTTTGGAAAGTACAAGATATTAAATATTTTTAGCTTTGCAGGGGGCTGTGAAGTATTTTCTTTCTTTACACCTTCGGTCAATCTTACTGTGTATCCCAGATGGTTCACAGATTCACTATCCTCCTGCCTCAGCCTCCTGAGGCCTGAGGTTACAGGTGTGCACCACTACACCAACCATGGCCTTATTGCATTGTCTTTGTGTGAATGTACTGTAGACAATGCCATCTGTGTTCTAATAAAACTTTATAAACACTGAGATTTTAATTTTATTGAATTTTTATGCACCATGTTTTTCTTTTCTTTTTAATTTTTGGGACTGCATGAAAGTGTGCCAAACCTGTTTTATTTGTAGGCCCCATAAAAACCAAGAGGATGTCTGGGGACTTGGCCCCGGTCTGTGTTTTGGCGTTTATGCTTTGAGGGACAACTCCAAAGTCTGGCTCACCCTCTGCTCACAGCATCTTCCAGGTCACAGTGACATTTTCCAGTCTGTAAGGCCTATACTGGGTCAGTTCCCGCGGCTACATACTCCTGCATCACCCTACCCATCCCCCATCCCTCAACATTCCCCCCACCCCTCAGTGTGTACCATCCCTCTCCTGGCTAAAAGGTAAACTCTGTGAGTCTTGTTCATTTCTGGAACTTAGTGTCCAGGCCAGGTTTGGGCAGTGAAGGCTCACTGACATTCCCAGGACACCTGCATTCCCATTCCTGTCGTTCATGGCATGACCAGTTTGGAAGCTCACGTCAGTACTTCCTAATTCCTTAGGAACATTTGGATTTGGGTCCCCAAAAGGCCTTCTGGGTAGCCAACAAACCTCACCTCCTTGGGCCCACATGATCAGACCCACGCCACTTGAGGAGCAGGTGAGTGTTGTGTCCACAGGCACGCCTGGTTTGACAATTCAATCAAAATGCTCAAACCTGCCGTGCGTGTGGTCACAGCCCAGAGTGCACACGACTATGGGGGAATCAGCTTACTCCGCAAGGACAGCTCCACCACCAGGACACCCCCTGTCTGCTCACGCATCATCCGCTTCCGTTTGTCGCAGTTCTGAAGACCGGGAGGATAAATGAACAAAGGAAACAAGAGACAAACCAGAAAGCAAAGTGAAAGTTCATGGAACGCCAAGTCCCCACCCGCTCGCTACTTACATAAAGTGTACAAAGGCACGCACGCACGCACCCACGCACTCACCCACGCACGCAGCTAGCATCCATTGACTCTCCAGGCTGTGTAATCCCTGCTGGACTAGGTCATCGTTATTCCAGCAGAGGAGGGCGCTGCACATTTTAATAGGAAACAAGATTTGACTTTCCCTTAACTCAGTGATAGGAGAAGAGGACACTCACAAAATGTGTTTTGCTTCTTTTCCTTCTGTTAAAACTGCAACTCTGCTGCTGTCCTTTGATCAAGTACTAACCGGTTCTCCTCCACTCTCCAGCCCTCAGCCCCTGGCTCTATTTTCTTTTCCTCCCTGTGTTCAGAAGCAACTGTTTTCTAGCCACAGGAGTGGATGGAAGGAGAGATCCAACCTCCTTTCTGCTGTTTGCTCCAGGCCATGTGGGCTGGCAGTCTCTTTGCTCGGGCCTCCATCTACATGGAGGACAGGACGGTTCTGCGCTCAGCACTTTTAAGTTCCCGAGGAGGTGTTCTTCACTCTGCAAATTCCGGAGCCGCAGGGCACTGGCCCTTCCGCCCACTGTGCTGTCGGCACTGACCTAGATTTTCAGCATTTCTCTGAAGACAGTCCAGTCGGAACTGCAATCGCCCACCTTTAGAGTTCTGTCTAGATCATGGATTCCTCGACACTTTTAACTTTTTCAAAGCCTTTTCATGTGTATTGCTACCTTCATTTTTATCTTACATTGCTCTCTGAGAAGGGAACAGCCATCAGAACAGAGTACCTCTATTCCAAGATGATGAATCCAGCCATACATACCAAACTGGTAAGTTTTGGTAGCAAAGTAGACAGGCCCAGACCTTCTGCCTCTGCACCCAGGCCCCACCTCTCCCAGGTCAATCCAGCTTCTCCAATCCCAGCCCCTTGGGGTCATATCTTCCTTCCAGAGCCAGGACCCTCACCACTGGGCAGGAGAGCTTCTCGCTGTCACAGATGAATGTCTCACAGTGTAACCAAACCTTGGAGAGTTTGGGGATGTTCTGGAACCGGAAGGCATTGAATTGGAAAGTTGCCCTGTGGTCCTTGCCGTTTTCATGCACGAAGACAGTTTCATCAGTGGGGCAGCTGGTGTGCACAGGAGAAGGGAGAATGAAACAATGACACATCACACCAGAGACTGCCAGAAAGGCTCCAAGGCAACATTTCACACAGCTCTCTGGTAGACCTGGGCACAGCTGCTTGTCCTTCCAAAGAACTCTGATCCCTGAGTGAGAGGTCAAATTGAAGGGCTATGGGGGTAGACCTGATTATCTCAAATTCTAAAATAGGGGGTGACTTATGAGAACCCATACATCTGGTAGGTTGAACCCCTGTCCTAAAGAAGTGACATCTCCAAGAGATAAAGCCCTCTGGAAGACCTCAGAGTAACACAAGGTAAGGACCACCATGATGGATGGGAGTGGTGTGTTTCCTGTTGCCATAGACACCCAAACTCAAGTCACACCCACTTTTTAGCTCTGTGTGTGCTCTTAGGTTTTGCCTGAAAGTGGAAAAATGAATCTATGTTCAATTAATTGTCGATATATTATATAATAACCATTATTAAAACATAGTCATATTTTCCACATATTATCTAAATAATGGGGAGAAAAATTGTTTGCTGAGACAGAACTGACTGAAAATATCATCTGAGAATTCTCTCTGAGGAGTCATGAGTGAGAAACAAAGGTTGTACCTTCTGATCTGGGCCAAGGGTCAGAGCTATTTCTGTTTGTTGTGGCCTTGGCATTGATGAGGTTGTGAGAATTTTCCAGCTTATGATATGAGGATCTAGCAGGATTGTTTGGTCAATAAACCTGAGATCCTTATCTGAACTCAAGATGTGGAGCCTTAAAATAGCTCTTTGTAGCCAGAGTGCCCTAGGCTGGTGTCAGCCAATGGAAAGTAACGTAAGAGGAGCTTTGTGGTGGGGGAAGGGATGGTAAAGAATGGGCGAGCCTAGATGTCTTGGCGCCACCATCTCTTGGCACAGGTTGTGGCACCTGCCTCTCAGTGACAGCTCACTCTGGTTGGTTGGATGGTGGCAGCCTGCTAGGAGGTCTCCCCCTCACCCTGAGCGAGTTCCCTGCCCTACATGGAATCACCCTTTGAGGGGAGTGGCTGCTGCTGTTGTGCTCATGTGTACAGGGAAATACCCGATAATATCATATAGATAGACATGCATCATCTATCTATCTATCTATCTATCTATCTATCTATCTATCTATCTATCTAGATGTATCTCCATACTGTAATATCACTAAGGACTCTTGAAACTGGAGCTCTACCCAAAGGATCTAGTATGAACAGAAAGTTTCCTCCCAAGCTATTCCAAGCCATAGCAGAAGAGACCAGCGCACACTGGACCCACCACTCTGCACTGACTCCAGAAAGTAGACTTACCCCTTGTTGATCAGCTGCCACTGCAAGGGGTACATGAAGTCAGCCGAGGGGGTGGCCCAGCAGCTGTTCAGGACTACCTTAAACCTGGAAATAAAATAGGGAGGTGTCACTAACCAGTCTTGTGTATACAAACATCGGAAGACTAGAATCTGTTAGTCTTTTTTTCTTTGTCCTTAAAAATACACAGTGTATAAAGGGACTTACCGAGTGCTTAGCCCTTTGGCTTCTACTCCTGCGAACAGGTCTGAACCGATTTCGGATGTTTCCAGAATGAAAGGAGCTTCTTTCTTGGTGGAAAACTTGGCGTTCTTGGGAAGGAAATGGGAACACTAGGCACTGTGACCTCTCAGAACGAACAGTCAGTCTGGCGGGAGCAGACACTTTGGGAAGGGTTAGAGATGGAAGCCACCAGCCCAAAACAAAGCACATGAGATTATAGAGAAACTCAAGATCCAGAGAAACTGTACCTCTGCGGACACAGATGTCATCTTAGATGGGGTAAGGACATTTGCTGGTCATAGTTTGACACACATTGTCTCAGTGATGCCAACAAAACCGACTGATGGGAAAATAGTGCAATCTAAGGACAGCAAGCCACAGCTTCACAAACACTCAGGGCAAGAACAGCTGAATGCTTACAGCCCCTCACGGTCCCTGTTCCCTGCCTTCCGAGCAAATGCTCGCCTGAGTTCTAAACAGTGCGATTGTCCACAGACATAAGCCAATGGTTGCCTGCAATGTAGTTAGGTATTGTTCTACATATTTGGGTAGTTTCTATGTCAAGATACTTTGCTTTGAGATATAATATTTGTTAATGAAGCAAGATCTCTCTCCAAATGATTCGATGTTCTAGCAGAAGAGAAAGGCAATAGAAAAGAAGTAAATTACACAGTATATTAGACTGGAATATAGTCAGTAATATTGGAAGCCACAAAAATAGCAAAATGGACTGGGAACATGAGGAAGGGTAAGCTGCATTCAGTGTGTGTGTGTGTGTGTGTGTGTGTGCGCGCGTGTGTGTTCATATGAATGTTTGTGTGGGTGTGGGTACAGAGTGCATAAAGGTATGAGTGTAGAGGTCAGAGGTCAGCCTCTGGTTTCTTTCCTCAGGCACTGTCTACCTTGAGTTTAAAAAAGGGTCTCTCGTAGGGCGGTGGTGGCGCACGCCTTTAATCCCAGCACTCGGGAGGCAGAGGCAGGCAGATCTCTGGGAGTTCGAGGCCAGCCTGGTCTACAAGAGTTAGTTCCGGGACAGGCACCAAAGCTACAGAGAAACCCTTCTTGAAAAACAAACAAAAAAACAAAAAAACAAAAAACAAAAAAAAAGAAAGGGTCTCTCACTGGCCTAGAACTGACTAGCCGATGAGCCACAGGGATCACCTGTCTCTGCCTCCCCACACTGGGATTTCAAGTGCCATGGAGCTCAGCTTGGCTTTTCAAATGCAGGCTCTGGAGATTGTACTGAGATCCTCAGCAAGTGCTTTGCCAGTGGGTCCATCTCCCCAACCCCATGTTACATGTTTGAGGAGGGCCGTCAGGGACGCCTCCTTGAGGAGGCAGCATTTGAGCAAGGAGTAGGGATGGGATTACAGGGCTGTGAGGTTTGTCAAGGAGGGCGTACCAAAGGGTCACTGCCATGACAGGCTCAGGAGTGTCAGGATCTGCTCCTAAACATCATCTTCAGATAATGCTGGGTGAGTTAGTAGGAATTACAGCTGTGATTGACCTCCTCAACGGAGGCTCCTCCAATCTGTGAGTTTCCTGTTCAATTTGCCTGAATAAGAATCTGGACTACTGGCTGGCATTAGTCATGGGCGACAGGGGCATTGACCAGATAGGCTAAGATCCCAGGATAATCCTGGCCCCTACGGGCTAACTTTAAACCCGTTTCTTTAGTCCTGTGAGATGAGGATAGCCTTGTGACATTGTAGCATAGAAACATAAAGCTTAGACTAGGGTCTTTCAAAACCTGAATTTATGAGCTTAGACACTTGCAACTTGGTAGGCAGCAGCAGACAGAACTCACATCCGGTCAATGTGGACTTGGCCTCCTATGGGTCCAACACTCTAGACTTTGTGAGGGGGCCCCAAATCCTCTCTTAGGATGACTCACATTATTCTACGGGAGTGGGTCCAGCCGAGGCTCCCACAATAAGCCACCTAGAAGCTGGCTCCCCTCTTTTCATTCGTCAGGTCTGCACCACGTTACTGGCTGCCACAATTGAGCAATAATGGTCTCAGGAATAAGTGATTTCCTTGCATAGTGTACGGCTAAAAGTAATACCTTTTCAGTAGTTTTTAAAGTGTTTTTGGTATTGTCTAAAAATGTATGAGATTTCAGGGGACATTTCCAAACATGGCAACTAACTTGGGAATGGCATTAGTCCCCAGGTCTCCAGAGACACCTCTGTGGAATCTTTCTCCTGGAGATCAGCTGGTAGAGTGTGAAATCGCTGCTGAGGGAGCCGTTGTCCGGTTCTGCAGCAAAGCGAAGAGCAGAAGCTGCCATCTTTGTTTCTGATAACTACAATAATGTTTAGCATGATTCTTCCTTTCCTTCTTCCCTCCTCACTCTCCCTTCCATTCTTCCTTCCTTTTTGGGTCTTTTTATACTACTCTGATTAGCCTGAAACTCACTGTGTAGACCAGGCTGCCCTCTAGTTCCCGGCATCCCTGTTTCTCCCTCTCGTGCTGGGATTACAAATAAGAGCCATCACGTCTGGCAACCCCTCCTTTATTTATAACATGAAATCAGAGACTTGTCTTCAGAAAGCTTTACTGTGGTAACCTATTTATATGCCAGGGATGTTTATCTTGACATTCCTAAAAACAAAAAGATGACAAAGACTACTTTTTTGTCCTATAGGATGGACAAGTCTGCTGAGAAACTGTATTCCAGCATTCCTTCCCTTGACCAAAAGGTTGACTCACAACTAGCTAGTCACCCAAGTTAAATCCTTAACTGAGGTAGGCCTCACTGGGCAGAAGTTCATATGGGGAAATCTAATTGCTTTTGTTCATAGGTGAGACACCAACCTAGAGTGAATACTTTAGGACATAGTCCTAGAGTTTTCCAGAACCTAGATGGTCACCTGTGGCCTACTATGTCTCGTACAGACTCAGTAGAGGACTGGAACCGAACACTTCAACTCTGGTTGTAGAGGGCACTGCCAGCTGGTGTGGGCTGGAAGGGAAGTGACCAGGATGGCAGCAAACCAGTGAAAAGATGTCTTGTTTAGAGAAGACAGGGGCCTTTGGAGAGCTGTGACCGATGCAATTCCACAGAATTACTTCAGCAGTCAGAACCAGTACAAGTAGGAGTTCAGGGGTCAGATTTTACCTGATAATCGAAAACACAAGGCCAGCTCACCCATGTCACTGGAAGAGACGGAGTGGCCACCCTCAGCAATGGAAGCTCTGTGGGCTTCAGGTGGGAAATCAAGGGTGGTTTCTGTGGTTTATTCTGATTCTGGAAGGATCCTTAGTCTTTGTTTGCCTCTGTCCACAAGCCTTTTCGTTTCTTTTTGTGTCACCATTAAGAAGAATGGGCAGTACTGGTTTGATGCTAAGACATTAAACTACTCTCACACTAACATTGATAGTCATTTTTATAAAGGCAACAATTGTCAGAATGCTCCGAGCATCCATGTTAAATGGGGCCAGAGTCTCCACTCACGAGAACAACTGGCTTCCTGGGTACTTACCAAGTCCACAGGCCATACTTAAACAGAGTTTCACCGAGTCTCCTAAAATCTAAGGGATCCATGTCACTAAGTTCTTAGTTTATGGCTGCAGAGAGGGAGGTGCAAGGAGACTCCCTAACTTTTCCAAAGTCGTCTAACTAGTAAATACAAATCAGGCTTTGTCGCATGGCCCATTTTCTTTTGAACCCAAAGTCCCAGGCTTTATCTGTAAACCGACAACCTTCCTTTGTCTTCGAATGAGAGTCATAACTTTGCCCTGGGAATATCAACTATGGGTCCTTGGCCAAAGCGAGCGGGAAGGGATGGAGAGAGAAGAGAGGACTTATGCAGAGCAGGAGGATTGTATCTGGGCCCAGGCTCTGGATTTCCGAGAATCCTAAGCCATTAGCAGTGTGTTGGTTCCTTTGTGCTATGAAGGGCATGGCTCTGTTTTTGGTAATCGGATGGAAATATATGCAAGGGGGCAGCTGTTGCTTTAGAAACACCCAAGAATGCCCTTAAAGTGGGGGGAAAAAAAACATGGTTAGGCATAGAGAACTGAGCCCACAGCAGAATCTAAACCAGAACAAAAGTGTCTGGACAGCGGAAGCTGCTCTTTGCTAAAGTCCATTCGTTCTGGAGGGACTTTGACAGGGGGGTTTGGGGGACACCTTGGCTTCATATCTAGATAATTCGGGAAGTAATTGTCCATCTATTTCTGCATCTCTGGAGATGGCTGGTGAAGATGGATTGGTTGACTGAGGGAATATGTTCCTTCTACTTCTGAGGTTATGTCTATGTCTGAAACTCCACCCTGTGTGGTTGATGGTGAGAGATGAGTTTAAAAACCTTGACCTCTATCGCCAACTATTGTAAACTTCATAGGATCAAATCTCCAGCCTATCCCATTAGAATACCAACTACTAGCTTCTAGGCAGGCCTTCATAGTAAAGACTGTAGTCCCATGTGGGAAGCCATTCACAGCCATTCCATCACCCCTGCTGGTTTACGGTGCATTGATCCCTGGGCACTGACAAGGTATTTCTGTCTCTGCATCAGCCACTGATGATATGAATCCAGGGCTAGTCTGGATTTTAAGGAATCTTGAAGCATATACATCTTAGAGATCCTTCTTTAACAATAATCTTAAAAAAGATTTAAAAATTAAACCCTGCCTTACACAAGGGCTTTGTGGGTAAAGGGCCATGGGGTTCTCTCTCCCTCTCACCCTTTGTGGACAGCACCTCAGCTGGGGACTTTCTGTTCTCACCAGAGGCTTCTCCAAGGCCCCTGTGTGGTCTTGGGCAAACACCTTCCTTCTTTTGGATTTCATGTCCTCATCCGCAAGGCAGACTAGGCTGTTGAGGATCCTCCCAGAACTCACCCATGAGCTCAGGGGCTAAAAGCTGCAGGGGCATAGGTGAAGAATGTTCAGTGTTTGACAGGTTTCAGACGGGGCGGTGTTTGCTCTTGGAAACGAAACGGGTCAGATGAGCTGCCCTCTAAGGACTCTTCCAACACTCGACACAAACGTTTGTGTCTCTGCCTGTGTTTTCCTCTAGCCAGCCGGGCTAGCGTGCCCTCTGTGTGCCTGTGTCCTCAGAGGCTGCAGCTTGAGAACAAAGCGCCTCCTCTACTGGGAGAGTAGCCGGGCTAAGGGCCAGTGCATATTTAGTTTCTCTGCAGCACTTAATTTTGAGAGAGGCCAGAGTGTGCCTTTAACTTTCCACATCAATACAGGCAGCAGATCCAATTAGAACAGCCAGGGGATCTTACTGGAAGGCTTATGGGGTGGAAGAACTAAACAGTGGAGGCTAGCCCTAAGCCTTGTTTTTAGCTCTGGCCTGGCCAGGGAGTGCAATGCTCTTGGCTAATGTTTTTGAGATCCTAATGGCAAATAAATCTCTGGAGAGGAAAGAGATACTAATCTTGCTTAAGAGTCAGACACGTGTGTTCTATTGTCTGTCCAGTGACCCTGCCTTCATTTTGGTACCAGTGAAGTGGGGAGGTCAGCCACATCTGTGCCATTTAGCCATCTATTGGCCTGTAAAGTGGACCTTCCGTTGCACCTGAGCTTTAAAGTCAAGCTAAGGCCATATGCCGCCATCGGAGTTCCGGAATGGGGCTCTGCCGCCATCGGAGTCCCGAATGGGGCTCTGCCCGGACCCGGGAGAGAGTGACTTCCGTGGAAGGAAGTTCCCTGAGGAAAGACAACCTGGACTTACAGTGTAGAAGTTGAGGGACAACTGGCTTTCAAATGTGCCCATGCTCCCATTCTTGACATGAACAGTGGCCACTCTGAAAAGGGGAGAGAATTTTGCATAAGGACTGAAACATGCCTGATTGACAGGGACTGTAGCATCCTCACTGTGGCCGGCCCTCCACCCCCAGTGCGGCTTACCTCTGGTCAAAAGCAGCCTGGTTCACCAGGTAGGTTGCATGGTAGGTGCAGGAGAAGGAGTAGTTGACAGGCTGGTTCTTCACAACCACTGTGCTGTCGTTGGACACGATGTGGCTGTAGAAGTGGTAGATGGGGGGCTTGTACTGGAGGAAGGAAGAAGGCAGTTAGGGTGCACACTGTCCTCCCGATGGGACTGAGGACTCTGGGAAAAGTGGTTGGAGATGACTTAGGAAAAGACGAGCATTAGTGGCACGTGCCTGTCATCCTGGCACTTGGGAGGTGAAGGTTGGATGGTGAGGGGTTCCAGGCAAGCTTCAGCTATATAGTGAGTTTCAAACCAAGAATAATGTTGAAGAATAAAACAAAACAAAGCAAAAAAATCAAAACAAGGGGACAGAAATGTTTATCAGGAACAGTAGAACCCGTTCTTTGTGGCAAAATTATTTGCAGAATTCTGGAATCCCTTCACTGAGGTCGATAGTATATATGTAGGGAAAGTCCTACTGGGCTTCTGATGGACTGGATCTGAGTCTCTGCTCCCAGCCTCAACATTTTATCCCTTTGTCCGTTGCCCCATAGATGTCGTTGTTCATCCTCCACTCTAGATCGTAAGTCTGTAGTGAAAACATCTATTAACCAGAAAGCACCACTTAGAAAATTCTTCCTTCTGTCAAGATTGTCTCAAAACTCAACAACATTAGAATGGTAAGCACCTGTCTTTAAAGGAAATGGCCTGAAACATGGAGATGTTCTCCATTCAGGTCGCCAGGATGCACTCACGAATGTGACGCTGTGCTCACCTTGCTCATGGGTCTTCCCGTCACATCTGAATCCTTCTGCACTCCAGGAAGAAGAGTTGGCTTTTTCGTTCTGAGGTTTACAAGCACATGCCTTTCTGGTAGTCAGGGTAGAAGGAATTCTGGCCTGTGGTGTCAGGGACCATGTTCTTGTTACTTCTGTGGCTGAGAACTGATACTATGGGGGAGGCCTCAGATTTTTCCCATCGAGAAGCTGTGGTTCCTTGTGATTCCCTCGTCCCCTGCCATGGACGCTTCACCCTGCTTATGATCCCATTTGTGCTTTCCTGATGCACTTAACTGCCACTTCCAATTCGTGGGGAAAGGATGGCTGTGGAGGCCAGAGAAGTGGCTCCACTCCATCTTGACGTAAGGTCAGAGAGTCTGAGCCTATTATTGCTCGTACAAGGTCAAACAACAGGAAGTTTGGTCCAAGGTGAAGTTGCTGAACATCTTGCCTAGATAACAGGATGTCTGACCTAAGATGTAGTTACTGGGTATTTTGAATATTAAGGAAGTAATCACTCTTGTTTGTTTTTTGTATTACCATTAAAAAAAAGTCCCTTTGTCCTCCCCTTTGGTGTGGGGTATAAAAGGGCTATGGAAAAATAGACTTGGGGCGGGTTCAGTAGTCACTGGAATGCCCTTCCAGCTCTATCTCCAGTTTCTTGTCTATTTTTTTCTGTATTCCACATGCTCCTTCTCAAGAGTGTCTGGACAATTCGGCTGGATGGAGACAGATGGATGACCCACTGATTCGGGCATCCAGCTCGGGGACCAACGTGCCCAATTTAAGTGAGAAATGCAGTTTGTTCCAGCCCAGAGGGAAGCTTTGCTGCTCTCCACAGGCCCCGTGAGCTAGGAGAATAGAAGTCAAGTTCAAAGAGCCATCTAGGGCTGTGGAGGTGGCTCAGTGGGGAAAGCGCTTGCTGCATAGACACGAAGACCTGAGTTCAGATCTCTGACACAGTTATAAAATACTGGGCATGGGAGGCGGGTGGTCAGACATGTGCTTGCAATCCCAGCACTGGGGAATGGAGAAGGGAGCTCTCAGGGTCTCGCTGACCAGCCAGTCTCACTGAATCAGCAAGAGACCCATTTCAAGAGAGAAGGAGTGCATGGCTGAAGAAGACACAAGATTAATGTGACATCTGCACATCTGTACAAGGGTACAAACGGCAGCACAAGAGAAGAGTTTAATCTGAACAACAGGATTGACTTTTAAAAGGAATTTGGAGCATTGAGAATCCTCTTAAGAACAGCACCAAACATCTTACTCTTGTATCTCATTAAATTCACTTAAGCCCCTCTGCCTTGGGTGGGCTTAGCCTTACCTCTGACTGAGTGCCGCAGTAGGACTTGTTCTTGGGAGATAGGTCTGGGATGACGAACTGGTAATAGCCCCCTTCATGGACCCCGTTGTAACACACACCCCCGAGTGCCAGCTGGTGTACTTCCCATCCATAGGGGCACTCGGGGATTTTAGCAATGATGGTTTTGGGGTAACAAAACACAAGGATGACATCTGGAGGAGTACACACATGGTTTGAACTAGACATGGTCAGCAAACGTCATGCAGAGGCAGTTAAAACCGTGTTCTCACTGTTCACCAGCTGTGCTGGGTTTCCCCAAACCAGCCACTGAAATGCTTCTTTCCTAATTTATACCACATATGATAACATCACTATTTAGTATCTATTTAATTGGATTCATTTTTAAAAACTGTCATTTTATTTTAGAGCCAATGAGATCAATGATTATTTTTCTGCTTCCTTCCTCCCTCCCTCCCTCCTTCCCTTCTTCTCTCTCTTCCTTCCTCACTCCCTCCTTCCTTCCCTCCCTCCTGTCCTTCCTTCTTTTCTTTCTTTTCAGCAATACCGGGTGTCAAACACAGGGCCTCATGTTTGCCAGACAAGAGCTTTACTACCAAGCCATAGTCCCAGCCCTAACACTTTTACTTCAGAAAAACCTGGGAAAACACAGACTGCTACATATATTCCCATGAAAATGAGAAGATTTCTTATAATTTAAAATGTCCACTGCCTCGTTTCATGCTCAATGTTACAAAACATTGTTTAAAGACTTAGACGGCATGCGTTGAATAGTCGAACACATAAAGTGGACCCATCACATAAAAGATGATGGAAACATTCTCTAATTTGTAAAACAAAAATTGGTTCATTCAGTACGTCTTTGCTTCCTGTGGGGAAAGGTCTGATTGGCCCTGGGGCTTCTGTGCCTCCGCACGGTGATGTTTTACACTTTCCTAACTAAGCTGTCCTGGAGCTCAATCACAGCGAGGTGGAGACGAGAGGCTCCCTGTCTGGGATAGCAGTGTAGCACTGGGGTACCTGCTTTATTTGGAATGCATGATTTTGCTGAGGCTTCTGCAAAGAGTGCCAACAGGATGAAGGCCCGCGCCACCATTGCGTCTCAGGGGCTGATCTCTGCCAGGTGACCGCACCAACTGCCCGAGTGCTCACGTTGTCTCCAGGCCCCAGGTCTCGATTGTTCTGCATCGGAAATATGAACAGAAAGTTAAAGTCAAGGGTAAGAACAAATTATCACTCAATCTTGTGGGGGAGTTTCCAAGGGAGATCACTGATGCTGTTCCTGGCTCGTACCACTGGGAAGGCTAATGCCACAGACGGTTGCTCAAGTTCCTGCCTTTCTCATTCTCTCTGGAGTGTTGGTGCTGCCTTCCGGATGCTCCCCAAATCTCCAGCCCCTGTCCTACTTCCCCCTTATATATCCAGAGGGTGTAAAAGAAACCAAGTCGAGATAAGTCACAATGAGCACACATTATCCAATGTAGGGTGAATAAAGGGGAACTTGGGACAATAATCCCGCAGCAGCTCAGTTACCTCCTGCATCTCATTTCTTCTCTTTTGCAGAGGTAGAAATCCCACGCCACCCATCCCTTTTACTGCTGAAACCAGGGAATCTAGAGGTTTTTTTTTTTTTTTCTTGTGCAAAAAATCAGAGTAAAAAACAAACAAACAACCCTCTGATGGAGACAAACACTTTCTGTACTGTTTCAGGTAGAAATTTATTCATTTGCATTTTTTCCTCACTCTATTTCTTGCTATCTTATTTTTACATAGGAGAATGAAATTTTGAATCTAAAAGGATTCTAGTCTGGCATAATTACATCTTGGAGTCAAACAAAACATAAGTTGTGTTAGTGTTAAAAGAAGGTGATTTTTCTCCACCGTTTCTTGATGTCTATAGCTTCATCCTGAAATACAACTTTAAACTGCAAAGCCTTTAGGCTTCCAAACTTTATTAGTCTCCTGGAACAATGACCTTGAAAAGGGAATTTTGAGAGACTCTCCTACAAATCCATCTTTAACTCAGCACTGGGGATGCTGCTCTGGTGGGTGTTCAGACACATCCTGGGAGTACAGGTGATCTCATGTTTCAGTGATATCCGGTTGCACTTAACAGTCTGAAGAGGAGTACTATAATAGTGTTGTCTTAGGATAGCGTCTAAGGATTATGGAAAGAGCTCCAAGGGAAGCCATTAAAAATTCCTGGGACTCAGCTTCCTTCTCTGCAAAATGGAGGCCATCACCCTGTTCATATTCCAGGGCAAGAGCAGAGCCATGAGATGAAGGCTCTCGCCAAAGGACCAGACAGGAGACACACAAGTTCATGTGAAAAGCAAACTCCTAGTTGTGCCGCTTTCTCTTAAAACAGTTGTGCGTTGTCTCATTGTAGACTTCAGTTTCCTGCAACAGAAAGCATGTCTGTATTAACAACACACAAGCAGTGGAGCTCATAGATATGAGCCCAATGGGTGGAAGAGGGAGGAATGAATTAAACTGTTTTAACACTGGAATGGATTTCAGTGCTGCCTGGAAACAGCAGCATTGCCTGCGCATGCCAATGCTCACTCCTGAGCAAAAGGAAGCTGCTGGATGCCCGATTTCACATGTGTGGATTTTGAGCTGCTTTTCCCCAGGGCTTAGCATCCTTTCTCTAGGTTTCTTCTTAGCTCCTTTTTATTAAACACCAGCGTTGCCCATGTGGTAAATTGCCAGGCTCTGCACTTGGCCCTGGCTGACATGGTAGCATAGAAGTTCCTTCCTTCCCTCTCTAGGAAATGGTGGGGAGAGGCATGCAGAGAGCAAGGTGAGTGTATTCTTGGAGTGTAGGGAGGGAAGACAGAAAGAGCTCCCGAGTGCTCGGTGAGGAAAGGAACCTTAGGAAAACCAAGGCCCAGAAGCCTAAGGTAGCCTGGCTGCGTTGCACGGGCTAGGGTTTGGATAATGAGCCAGCGCTGACAGTTCAATCGCATCCTTCTGCTTGTGCTGGGACGCACGGCCCCATTGCAAGAGGATGCTGTTGTCTTCAAGAGTCACTTCTTTACAGCCAGCTCTAACCCAGCCAAGTCAGCAGTAGCTCCAGAATCTGGAGGCAGCTAGGCATGAGGTTGCTCACAGAGAGGGTGGAGGTGGAAAGGCTGCTTCCCTGTCTCTAGTGGAAAGGTAGGATGGAACCCGAGAAGATGCTGCAAGGCAATAGGGTGAAGCTGAGCCATAGACAGCGCCTGGAGCCCAAAGACTTTGACCATTTATTGTCTGTATGTTTGTTATTGGGCAGGTGCTATATTCTGTGAGTCTAAATTTCTTTCTCTTTTGGAAGGGAATACTAACGTTTGTAATACAGTGTTATTCAGAATATTAAATGAGTAATTCTAATATTTATGTTACATACATAGACATTTACTCATTGAAGTCAAAGAACCCAGAGAGCCTTCTGTGCCTGTGTTAGGTTCTATTTGGGAAATGTGAAGTCTGCTCGTATGGGTCCCAGTATGGGGAAGACATTAGTTTTATCGATACCAGGTGTACCACAGGCCACTGTGAGTACCGGCTCTGGAATTAAACCTCACGGCTCTGTCAGATTTCCAATGATGTGATCTTGGGTAAGCAACTTGACCTCTTTAAACCTTTGGTTTCAAATGTGTAAAATGAGGCTTCTCATCTCCCATTGCTGATCCAGGTACGAAAAAAAACAAAATCCATAGAAATTGCTTAGCATGGCGTGTGGCATGGACTCGGCAGGAGCAGTCAAGGATGGTATCGGCAGGAGTCTGGGACAGCAGGTCCCCAGTGTTCCCAGATGAACCCCGAGTGTTTCTATGGTAACAGCCATCTCTTTGGAAGCCCACCCTCACAAAAGAGCAGGTGCTTTTGATTTCTAGAAAGGTCTCATCAGGATAAAATTTGAGGACAGAGAAAGAGATCTCTCCCATGATTTCGGAGAATCAGCTAACAATCAGGTACACGATACTGCTTTCACGGGGCAAAGGAGTGGGTGGGGCGGGGCAGTGATTCCACTTTTGTGGCAGGCTGGTCTCTAGATGTTTAATTTGCATAAGAGACAGAAGGGGACCAAATGAACTTGGGCCAAACAGTATTTGATACTGGCCTTGCTAAAAGGCAGGAGGCATCTGTTTTCTGTAGTAATTACCATCCACTCTCAGGCCCTGCTCAACCTTCCCCCGCTTTTCAACACTCCTCCACCCCAGATGCCCCTGAAGTGAGAGGAGGAGCCCTGCAGATGGAATCCAAAAGAAGACCTCTGGCTCAGAGCATTGCCGGTTCTTCAAACAGGAAAAATGGGTTGGAATGTTTTACCAGTCCTAGGATTTTGAAAGAGCCCATCAAAGAGAGTTTTATGGAAGACTCGCCCGAAAGATGAACTCATCGTTCCTGCATCTTTGTTTTATGAATTGCTAGGCAACAAAGGGTACCTTTTCTGTCTGGAGGTCCTGAGTGATTTGGGAGAGCCAGCCCAGGCACAAAAGGCATGCCTCACCAGTCAACATTCTGAAATGAAATCAGATGCACTGGTCCAGAAGTGAGGAGCTGCAGTGGGGTCCTGCCGAGGTAGAGAAGGGGCTCGCAAGCCAAGACTAATAAGCGTGCACTGGCATTTAAAAGCTGCTTTATTAGATTGGACTATTTTTTTTATAGAACACTGTTTTGAGTTCATGAAATATTGGGTTTGTTAAATGGACCCTGTTGTTCCTTGTAAGGTCTGAATCAAACCTTCTTCCACTTTGTGGGAGGCTGTTTGCCAATTTTCAGAGTGGGCGTTCCACTCTGGACTCCACTGGCTCTGGCCTCCCAGGAGTCCCCGGGAAAGTCCATAGAAAGTGCACTTAGGAATGGAACTGGACGATGAGGAAGGACCATCTGCTGGTAGAGTATCATGGATTCAGAGCCAGAAACCCCTCCTCCCCATCCCACACCTGACCTTGTTGCTCCTCAGGTGCACAGAGGCCTAAGTGTCTGTGGACGGAAGTGCCCAGGAGAAACTCACACCTGGAACTAGCCCCCAAGGCCGACTGAGTTTAAAACTGTGATTAGTCAGAACTGTGGTGCTCCCGGGTAAATTGTCTTGAGTTGCTAGTCCCTTAAGAGCCATGAATTACTAATCTCTGTGTGTGACTCAACAACCCTTTGACTGCTAAGTACAACTTTCAGAAGGTACAAGCAGATTCTGGCTTCTACCAGTGTAAAGGCTAAGAAGTCATTGGACAGCATCTAAGTCCTACTGCACAGATTTTGCCCACTGGGTTATGGTCGGTCTGCCCAGTGCGTCCACCCGCACACTTGAGAAGTGTCTTGATTGATAGCTTTCTTTGCTCTGCTACTATAAAACTGTCTGGACTGTTGCCTCATTGGGACATCACATTTGGGGTACAAAGCAGAAGGAAAGATGTGAAGACTAGCACTCAATGACCACGGAGTCACAGTCCTGCTTCCCTCTCTTCTCAAACGCCCACAGGGTCCAGCTGGACTCTAGTCAAATGAGTACACAGAGCACACATTGCCATGCTTCCCTTTTGCGTCTGTGCGAGGCATCACTAATCAAAACATTCTTTCCCTCTGGTCTCTAACATGACCCTAGGAACATTCCCAACACTGTGTGCCAACAGACATTAACAATCTACTGGAAATAGCACAGGAATAGAAACTCATTACTTGCTCCCCAAACTAACAAATGTACTGGGGTCAAACAGTTCACCTTAGAGGGCCATCCGTGTTCCCTTTCTAGACCTTGTTAGGGCTGAGATAGGTGTCTCCTTTTTGTACACGGCCCCTCCCACCAGACTGAACACTGCATCAAGGCAAGGGGTGTGGCTGGGCTTTAGCTCTACACCGGAGCTTTAGCTCCAACTCAGACCACTGGACGTAGCTGATTTAGTAGATGGTTTACTGTAGCTGATTTAGTAAATGGTTTACTTAATGAGTGGCACAAAGTACTTTGGAACAAGTCTAATTAGTCTGTGTGTGGGGCGTGGGGTGTGTGTGTGCCCATCAACAAGTCTAATTACTTGGTATGTGATGTGTGTATACCCGTTTATGCCAGAGACAACTTGGGCTTCATCATATATATTGAGCTAGGATGGC